TGTTACATGATCGATCGCATTCGACATAATTGTCCATCACCAATCCAATGCCTACGAGCTTTTCCTATATTGTTCTTCGCTTGTTTAATATTCTACTGCTACTGTTACAATCACTACAAAACCCAAAAATATTACTTTTACTACTGTTACCTTTTGCCACTGTTACCACTACTATCATATTACTTGCTACTAAACACTTTGCTGCAGATATTAAGTTTCCAGGTGTGGTTGAATTGACAACTCAGTTGCTAATACTTGAGAATATTCTTTGGCTCCTGTCGGTGTCAAAACCGGTGGATCTTGGGTAGGGGGTCCCGAACTATGCGTCTAGGCCGGATGGTAACAGGAGGCAGGGGACACAATGTTTTACCCAGGTTTGGGCCCTCTTGGTGGAGGTAAAACCCTACGTCCTGCTTGATTGATATTGATGATATGGGTAGTACAAGAGTAGATCTACCACGAGATCGAAGAGGCTAAACCCTAGAAGCTAGCCTATGGTATGATTGTTGGTCCTACGAACTAAAACCCTTTGGTTTATATAGACACCGGAGAGGGCTAGGGTTACACAGAGTCGGTTACAATGGTAGGAGATCTACATATCCGTATCGCCAAGCTTGCCTTCCATGCCAAGGAAAGTCCCTTCCGAACACGGGACAAAGTCTTCAATCTTGTATCTTCATAGTCCAGGAGTCTGGCTGACGGTATAGTCCGGCTATCCGGACACCCCCTAATCTAGGACTCCCTTAGTAGCCCCCGAACTAGGCTTCAATGACGACGAGTCCGGCCCGCAGATTGTCTTCGGCATTGCAAGGTGGGTTCTCCAAATTCCGTGTACCTGTTGAATAATGTCCAGTTTCTTGTAGCGCTCCTTGGCTTCTACGCCCAATAATGGTCATCTTCCACGTGTCAAACGAATAAGAAAAGTCAGGGTGTTTTTTTATATTTACACCCCTAGGCGCGTGAATGAGCCGCCTATTTAAGGGGATGAGGATTTAGATCCAAACCACACCTTCTCCCCTCCGCGAGTATTCATCAGAGCGTATCCGACAGAGGTCCATTCTATCATGGCCGGCCGCCGCAGCTTCTCCTCTCGCCCTTCAGCCCTCAGCCTAGAGATTGGAAGAGGTGCTCCATCCCGCACAACGAGCTAGCGACGCTCCAGACCAAGGGATTTCTCCCCCCGGCCTATATGGTCCCGGTTCGAGCCGGACTCGCCACCTATATTGGCGGAGAGCAAGCGGTGAGCGCCCCCAATCCCTCCAAAGGAGAGTGCCTATGCCTTGTCCCTTACTTAATAAGAGGGCTCGGATTTCCAATTCATCCGTTTCTTCGGGGCTCCTGGAGTTCTATGGCCTCCAGCTGCACAACGTCACACCTGCCTCCATATTGCATATCGCGGGCTTCGTAGCCCTTTGCGAGCTGTTTTTGGGCTGCGAGGCTCATTTCGCGCTGTGGAAAAGGCTATTCTTCCTTGTGCCCCGTTCTAAGAAGGGGTCAATATATCAAGTGGGCGGAGCCAAGTGTGGCGCATCGCCGGGACCAGATATCTATCCAGAACCCCAAAGAAGGTGTCCAAAGACTGGCCTTCGGAATGGTTTTATATAGAGGACGTACCACTGTCGGATCCTGTCCGGATCGGCCTCCCTGAGTTCGACAGGGCTCCCCTAAAGAAGCGCCTAAGTTGGCGTCCACAGAGCCCTCAGAGGGAAAGCGACAAGGACGTTCTTTACCTGATGGGCCGGATAAGATTGTTAGCTCATTCCGGACTGACCATGATCGGGGTCATGGCCGCATGCATCATGCGAGGGGTGCAGCCGCTTCAGTATAGAGGCCGCCCCATGTGGGACTTCAACGGGGAGGACGACGCCACCCGCCACGGCCGTAAGGGGCCGGATTCGGCTGCCGCTCTAATAAAGATCTTGTCCACTTTGTACAAGGGAGAAGAGGAGGAATTTCTCCGCGTCAACCCACAGGGTGGATTTTGTATGTACAATCCCCCAAGTTGGGTAAGTGGACACTTTTACTTGCCCATCCGTTTTATATTCCCAACGTTAAATATTCAGTCTAACGGCTTCAACGCAGGGACTGCGCTAGGCTGTTAAAGAAATAAACAGCCCTCCTCCACAACCCAAGGATCCGGGATGGTTCCTCGACCCGGCCTCTCAAGAGGATCCAGACTTATCTGTGGAGCTAATTGATGGGGTGTTTCATCAATTGAGCAAGGACAACGCCTTGGTGGCCATTACGGCCTATTACCCAGGGCTACTCCCAGCCTCACAGGTAACTGAGACTGAAGTCCCAGCACTTTGAAAAGGGATCTATCCTCGCATGTTTTCGATTGCCGTATGACAACCGTGTTTTGCACGGGAGGTCCTTGAGACAGGAGGCCGAGCCTGCGGCGACTAGCCAACGAGGGGCGGCAAGGCCCCGTGGGCTAAAAAGAAGTGCGGTCCGGACTGAGACGCCGGCGCAAAGGTATAGCGCGCCATCTTATTCCCAGGTGTTATTCCTTCAAGGCATACTAACGCTCGTGCTCTCTTCAGGACGAAGAGACCTCGCCGGACTATATCCGGAGAGGTTGCCAATCGCGCCTCCACCAGCCAGGCTCCAAAGCCTGGCCCGGAAGCGGAGGCGAACAAGAGGCGCGCACCGGACGCTCCTCCGACAGAGGATGCGGACAGGCTGTCTGCCACCAATTCCGAGGTGGAGAGTGCCATGAACCACAGGCATCGCCGGACAGTTCTTCGCGACGCTTGTTTCTCCCAAGAGGCATTGGATGCCTTCAATTCGGGAGATGCGTACCTCCGTGCCGCTCAAAATGGTCTAGCCAGAGCCACGGAGCAATATGTAAAAGACATACGGGTAAGAAAATTTTGGTAATTATATATATATACCAGTAGCCCCCGAGACTTGAAACAGTTAGAATAACTGATTTAAGGATCATTTGTTATGCAGGTTCTTACAGAAAAGAATACCCTACTATCCCAGGAGCTGGAAGAGTGCAAAGCTCAACTTGAGACTGCACTAGCCGCGGCAGGGGAGTCCAAGGAGACCCCCTCTGGTAATATACGCTTCGAAAGATAAGTATTTTGTGAAGTGCGGCATGGGTGCAAATCTGACAAAATGAAATTGCAGATGACGCCGGATTAAATCCGGAAGAGCAAAAACTCCGACGCCAGCTAAAGGCTGGTGAGAGCATGCTGACAAAGCTCAGGCGGGAGAAGAACGATCTCCAAGATGCCAACACCAAGCTGGGCGTTGAACTGAAGGATGTTCGTGCCCAGCTGTTGGACTCCGTGAAGGATAATTAGCGGCTTCGACGCGGCATATATAGTAAGTTCTTAAACGAACTTTGAAAAAAGAGTTCGGCGAGGAAGTCGACTAACAGAGTAATGTCTGTAGGTATGCTAACAGGTCGTCCTGCAGAGGAAATGCCTGGTTCTACGGGTGACCTTCTTCCCGAGCTCTCACAACTGCACGAGCGAGTTCGGCAGGTGATGCAAAGCGTCGCCCAGGCCTTGTGGCCATCCGTCTCCATGCCCGAATGCCTTGGAGAGCTTGTAGAGAAGCTGAAGGGAGCGCGGCGGCGCTTCCGATTGTGGAAGATGTCGGCCTGCCGTCAAGGCGCCAGGGAGGCCTGGGCCATGGTGAAGACGCGGTACATGAAGGCTGACCCAAACCACATGGCCGAGGTCGGACCCGTGAGGCCCGATGAGAAGGAGATCCCTGTGAGCGTAGTATACGGCCAAGTAGAATTGGCCGCAAAGTATTCCCAACAGGACTGTAAACTAGACAGCCTGTTAGATGGTATTGAAGAGGAATACAATCAGTCAGATTGACTATGTAATTATAATTGACATGTGTAATGCCTTCTAGCCATATTGTAGATCATTTGTCATGGCCGACCTTTTCGCTTCAACCTCGGGACCTGACGGTCCGGAGTGTGTCCGAATACCCTCGCGGTTATATAAGAACCGGGGTATGCATGGAGACCAGGCGTAGGGGTCATTAGTGCTTGAACAGACAAGTGCCCAACTAGTTATGTTATATTACATGGTTAGTAAGAAACATCTTACAGGGATAATAGTTCTGTTAGGGGTTCCTTTCCCTGGAAGGCATGCCCTAAAGTGCATGTCCATTCTGCGAAAAGAGACGCAGGAAAAACATCTGGGGGCGTATAGATAAATAAGTGAAAAAGATCATCTTTAGTTCACCGACCGAATATTCCCTTAAGAACGCTAGCTTTCGGCTTCACCCAGTCTGAGGTACACATCCGGCTGACCCGGCAGTAACAATCGCAGAGATGCTCCCTTTACCACTTAGCCGAACAATCGGGAATGTAGGGGTAAGCATAGGAGCCAGGCAACCCAGCTTGGCCAAAACTTAAATCATATCGATGCATATAATGGTGAATAAAAGGTATATGCGGAAGTGTGACACATGTGTTGGGCATGAAGCCCGTATAAATAAGCTTCTGTTTAAAGAAGCCCCCAGGTTTAATGAGCGCGGATAACGCATCACTGTATGAGCCTTTAAAGGCTATAAGAGAGAGAGAGAGGGGAGAAGGAGAGAAATGTAAGAGAGAAAGTATATAAAAAATAGACAGAGGAAGGAGACGAATACAGAGTCCGGCGCTACGCGTACAATCTTCGGAGAGTTAAAAGCACCCGGAGTCCTAGAACTTGCTCTCAATGTGATGCTTTAGTCATACAATTTGAAATTTGACCCTACCCAGTCCCTCAACTTGCATAAGATGTGCAAATTTGGTCCTGACAAATCAGAGAGCGCCACGTGGATGTGTGGGTGCATACCCGGTCAGCGCATGCTCTTTTGCAAAGAGGTCCCTGATGTTGCTGTGAATCAACCCGCACAGACCAAACCATCAACTCAAACGAAAAAACCAAAACGCAAGCACACGTCCGTCCGGCCGAAACGCAATTAACCATCAACCATGCATGCATGCACGCATGCCACAAATATACTCTAACCAGCTAGAGGACATGGGGGCGCAGAGAACTCTCCTCGCGAGCTTCCTGCTCGCCGCGTTGGCCACCCAGGCCTTCGTCGCCATCTCGGCCAGGACCGGCCCGATGGACAAGGCAAGCCAAGGTGCGTACCTAGCTACTCTGGATCTTGTGCATGCAGCTTGTGGTGAGTAATGAGCTAGGTTGTAACAAATGTCGTCTCGTGACGTGCTCGTAGATGACGTGAAGAGGCCGGACTGCGTGCCGTCGCTCGTCCCGCACAACTTCCCCGGCCACGGGGGCACCACCGTGCCGCTTCCCTCGCACGGAGGCTCCTCCGGCACGCCGCCTTACCACGGCGGCTCCGGCTCGACTCCGTCGCACAGCGGCTCCGGCTCGTTGCCTGACTCGTCGCATGGCGGGTACGGGACGCCGCCTTCGCACGGCGGCTCTGGTTCGTTGCCTGACCCGTCGCACAGCGGAGAAGGTTACAGGTCCACTCCGGACGCGCCATCCCATGGCGGAGGCGCATACGGGAGCTCACCCACACCTTCCCACGACGGGCCTACGAGTTTAAGTCACTGACGTGTTGGGCCCGTGACGCTCCACTTGTTTTTGCACGTAGCAGCTACTGGAGGACGCACCCCATGCAGACCTGGTCGGCGCTGGGGAGCTGGCCGGGCTCGGTGAGCCACTTCTTCGGTGCCGCCGGCGGCCCGAGCGTGAGCATCAAGGACGCGCTGGCGAACACGAGGACCGACGGCGCCGGTGCACTGCTGCGTGAGGGCACCCCAGCGCTGCTCAACTCCATGACCCGCCCGGGGTTCGCCTACACCACCCAGCAGGTGAGGGACGTATTCGCGGCGGCCGCGGCTGGTGGCTTCGACAGTGCCGCGGCGGCGCAGGCGGCGGCGTTCAAGAAGGCCAACGAGGGGAAGAAGGCATAGATCGACTGGATTGCCATCGAGTGGGCTTTAGCTAGCTTAAGGCTGCAGGTGGGACTGATCGTGGGAGTCCCATCACAGCCCCACTTAATCCCAACACACTTTGGTGGGTGATAGCCAACACTCCATCAGTTTTTATGTGGGGTGTATGGGTATAAGTGGGATCCCACTTCCGAGCGACACGAATCAAACTTGCCTCACCATCACCAACGCCAAACAGAAGGTGTTTTGCTTAGTCCGGCCGACCAAAAACCTAATTACCCCCTGATCTCTTGATCTTGCTATCCTGCATAAATATGCATGCACGTCCTGTTGTCTGCACTATGCACTGAAACAGGTACAAGCCGCTTGCCGGCGTCGTCGTCCGTGAACGTAAAGACCCGACAGCAGGAGGCAATCTTGTCGATGAGGCTCTCGGCCTCGGGCTCCGGCGACGGCGGCGTCAGCTTGCTGGCCTCCGCGGCGAACACGAACACATCCTCGGGATTGTCGAGTTGGAGCAAAGTGCAGCAGCGTGGTAGACATCCTCTTCTTAGGCATCCTTGACACGTCCATGTTGACGTCCGGTCGGCATTGACGTTGGCGAGGCCAAGCGCGAGCGCCTGCTGCAACGCCTGCCGCTGTCCCAGGCATCCCCGCGCCGAAGCCGCCGGTGCCCACCATTCCTACAATGCCACCAGTGCCAACCATGCCCGCGCTAACCACACCGCAGGTCACATGCAGTGCCGCCGATGCCGGCCGTGCCCACGCTCACCGTTCCCCAGGTCATGTTGCTGCCCATGCGTGCCGTCCCCATGATCACTTATCTGGGATTTATGTTGCCGGCGGCCTGTAGGTCGGGGTTGCGGCTGGCGGCGACCTAGCCATCCCGTCCGGCCGGGGTAGCGCAGGAGGGAGAGGTGCGAGGAAGGGGAGGACGGGAGGGGATGCGGCGGCTGTGCGGCTCCCCCGTGGCGCCTCTGTTTTTGTGAGGGTAAGTGGGAACCCGATGGGCTGATATAGCTACCCCAGTTAATTTTTTTAGGATGTCTCAAAAAAAAAAAAAACCCTGCAGTGTGAAGCTAGCTGGTTACCTATATCTGTGGCATGCGTGCATGCATGCATGGTTGATGGTTGGGTTTCGGCCGGACGGACGTGTGCTTGCGTTTTGGTTTTTCCGTTTGAGTTGATGGTTTGGTCTGTGCGGATTGATTCACAGCAACGTCAGGGGTCTCTTTGCAAAAGAGCACGTATTAACCGGGTTTACACCCACACCTCCACATGGCGCTTTCTGATTCATCAGGACCAAATTTGCACATTTTATGCAAGTTGAGGGACTGGGTAGGGTCAAATTTCAAGTTGTAGGACTAAAACATCACATTGAGAGCAAGTTATAGGACTCCGGGTGCTTTTAACTCATCTTCGGAGACGGGCTGCATTCCATGGGTTCGGCTCGAGTCGGTTATCCGATGCATCTCGCAGGCGGTACGCTCCACCAGTCAGGACTTGGTCAATTATGAAGGGACCTTCCCACTTGGGCTTGAGTTTTTCATTTTTCTTGCCGGGCAGGCGTAGAACTAATTCGCCAACGTTGTAATTTTTGGCCCGTACTTCTCTGCTTTGGTATCTTTGAGCCTGCTGTTGAGAGAATGCGGAACGGGCTTTTGCCACGTCACGCTCTTCCTCCAAGGCGTCCAAACTGTCCTGCCGATCGAGCTCGGCTTCTCTTTTTTCGTACATGCACACTCGAGGTGAGTCATGAATTATGTCGCAGGGCAAAACTGCCTCTGCGCCGTACACCATGAAGAATGGTGTGTATCGGGTGGTGCGATTCGGCATGGTCCGCAGCCCCCAGAGTACGGAGTCGAGCTCCTCTACCCAGTGCGTATTAGATTCCTTAAGGACCGCACTAATCTAGGTTTGATGCCGCTCATGATAAGACCATTTGCACGTTTGACCTGGCTGTTAGTTTGTGGGTGATAGACGGAAGCATAGTCGATCTTGATGCCCATGTTTTTGCACCAGAGTTTTACCTCGTCGGCCGCAAAGTTCGTGTCGTTATCAGTGATGATGCTGTGGGGGACGCTGTAACGGTATACAACCCCCGATATAAAGTCTATCACCGGTCCGGATTCGGCCGTCTTAACAGGCTTGGCTTCTATCCATTTGGTGAATTTATCCACCATGACTAGTAAGTATTTTTTTCTTGTGGGTTCCGCCTTTAAGGGGTCCAACCATGTCAAGCCCCCAGACCGCGAAGGGCCAAGTGACGGGGATAGTTTGGAGGGCGGTGGGTGGCATATGGCTTTGATTTGCAAAAAGCTGGCAACCGACGCATCATTGGACTAAGTCCTGGGCGTCTGCCCGGGCCGTCGGCCAATAAAAGCCTGTACGGAAGGCCTTGCTTACAAGGGACCGAGCTGCAGCATGATAACCACCGAGTCCGGCATGAATTTCAGCCAGGAGGTTCCGCCCTTCCTCTTCGGAGATGCACCTTTGAAGGACTCCGGTAGTGCTTTTCTTATAAAGCTCTCCCTCATGGACTTTATAGGCTTTAGATCGCCGCACTATGCAGTGTGCCTCATTTTGGTCCTCTGGGAGTTCCTGCCTGGTAAGGTAGGCGAGGAATGGTTCTATCCACGGGGCGATGACGGCCATTATTACGTGGGCTGAAGGTGTTATTTCATTGGCAGAGCCTCCAATTATGTCAGAGTGTTCGGTGTCGGGCAGTGCAGTTGGGTCTGGGCTGTTATTGCCAGGTTCCCCTTCCCGTACTACGGACGGCTTGAACAGCCTTTCCAAGAAGATGTTGGGGGGGACTACATCGCGTTTTGGCCGATGCGTGCCAGAACATCTGCCGCCTGATTATTTTCCCGGGCTATATGGTGAAATTCGAGCCCTTCGAACCGAGCTGACATTTTTAGGACGACATTGCGATAAGCTGCCATTTTTGGATCCTTGGCATCAAACTTTCCATTTATTTGGGATATTGCGAGGTTCGAGTCCCCGCGCACCTCTAGGCGTTGAATGCCCATGGATACTGCCATCCGGAGACCATGTAAAAGGGCCTCATATTCGGCTGCATTGTTGGAGTCTGTGTATATTATCTGGAGTACGTATTGAACTGTGTCTCCTGTGGGGGACGTCAAAATGACGCCAGCCCCCAGACCGACCAACATTTTGGAGCCGTCGAAGTGCATGACCCAGTTTGAGTATGTGCCGTACTCTTTAGGGAGTTCGGCCTATGTCCATTCTGCGACGAAATCGGCCAAGACTTGCGACTTGATAGCTCGCTGTGGCTTGTAAGTTATGTCGAACGGAAGGAGCTAAATGGCCCATTTTGCAATCCGGCCCGTCGCGTCGCGGTTGTTTATGATATCGTTAAGTGACACTTCCGAGGCTACTGTTATTGAACACTCTTAAAAGTAGTGTCGCAGCTTCCGGGATGCCATAAATATCGCGTACGCAATCTTTTGATAATGCGGGTATCATGACTTGCACAGAGTAAGGACAGTGGACACATAGTAGACCGGCTTTTGAAGGGGGAATTTGTGTCCGTCTGTTTCTCATTCGACGACGAGCACTGCGCTTACGACCTGATGGGTTGCTGCAATGTATAATAGCATTGGTTCGCCAATGTTTGGCGCGGCCAGGACTGGGTTTGTTGCCAAGATGGCTTTTATTTCGTTAGTCCGGCCGTGGCTGCATCTGTCCACTTGAAGTGTTCGGTGCGCCGAAGGAGGCGGTAAAGGGGTAGGGCCTTTTCTCCCAAGCGGGAGATAAAGCGGCTTAGAGCCGCCACGCATCCGGTTAATTTTTGTATTTGTTTAAGGTCCTTTGGGATATCCAATTGTGACAGAGCTCGGATCTTGGCTGGATTTGCTTCAATTCCTCTACCGAATACAATGAAGCCCAAGAGCTTTCCGACTGGAACGCCGAAAACGCATTTTTCCGGGTTGAGCTTGATGTCGTATGTTCGGTGGTTACCGAATGTTAGCCTCAAGTCGTCTACTAGAGATTCGACATGTCTTGTTTTAACGACCACATCATCTACGTATGCCTGCACTGTTTTGCCGATCTGGTTTGCCAGACATGTCTGAATCATGCGCTGATATGTTGCGCCGGCGTTTTTGAGCCCGAAGGGCATTGTGTTGAAGCAGAATGGGCCGTATGGTGTGATGAATGCCGTTGCGGCTTGGTCTGACTCTACCATCTTTATTTGATGGTAGCCGGAGTATGCGTCGAGGAAACACAACGAATCGTGTCCTGCGGTAGCATCAATAATTTGATCGATGCGGGGGAGAGGGAAGGGATCCTTTGGGGAAGCCTTGTTAAGGTCTTTAAAATCAACGCACAGACGCTAGGATTTGTCCTTCTTTGGTACCATCACCAGGTTTGCTAGCCAGTCCGGGTATTTTATATCTTTGATGAATCCGGCCTCCAATAGCTTGACTAATTCCTCTCCCATGGCCTGTCTCTTATGTTCGGAAAAACGTCGAAGAGCCTGTTTGACTGGATTGAATCCTTTTAGGATATTTAAGCTGTGTTCGGCCAGCCTGCGTGGGCTTACTGCATGTCTGAAGGGTGCCAGGCGAAAATGTCCCAGTTCTCTCGCAGGAACTCTCGTAGTGCGGCGTCTACATCAGGGTTTAACTGTGCTCC